GACATCTACGCGGTCCCGTTCAATGTGCATCGAAACACATTATTGTTCCTATTTCAAGATCTAGACAAATCTTAGTAAGAACAACACAATTTTATCAACATAAAGCGTCCAACTTTATGTACCGATTGTGAACGACATAATTTTGATCACATCACGAATTGTGTCTTACTATACCCGATCCATCGAGTATACAATTTGTCACATCTTATATGATCATGGAATTTCAGATAATCACTTCAAATTGTAACACGCAAATAGACGAACGTCAATTTAAAATGTAATTTTACATAACATTACTCGAAGAATTAGCATCAAGTTAACAGTAATTTCAATTTCAATATCAAAATCACATTCTAATTAATGTTATAAATTATATAATATTTGTTTTATAATTTTAATACAAATTGAAACCGCACCTCGCTTTCTACTACATATCTCTACCGAATCATCTAACAAAGCACTAAATTCTTGTTAAACAAAGAATTCTACCATACTCAACTTTATTAAATACAAAACAAAAAACTTGATAACATGAACAACTATAATGGCATTTATTCTTTTCATCAGCTAAATCTAATCTACAATCTCATGATACGTGGTGTTAGAATCGGATTTAATATGCAAGTTCGATATAAAAAAAGTTAATGATTCGCAATTCAACCCGTAAAGTTATTTCAAATTCGAAGGGTTACTTTAATGAAGCACTATTATTCTTGTTAAAAAGGTATTCTACTAAGCTCACTTTTTTTCTTAAACAAATACTTTCTAGCAATGGCTGTGGTATATATTCTTTCCTTCGGTCATTTGCTCAACTAACTTAGTTGAGCTTAATTATTACACATATTATGTCTCGTCACACATGGCTCCACATCACAGAGGCCCTCTTGTCCACGTGGCCGATCGTTGAGGCTCCTTGGTCAATTCTTGGATTAGCCGACCCACTCAAGTATTGGAACTACCTTCAGCGAAGCCTCCCACACAAGTGACGAGGCCCGAGAGATTAGTCCGATGCCCATTTATGTCTCTTTTGCTAAAGTAGAGGTGCTGAGGCGAGGGAGCTCCACAAAGTTCGAAGCCTGCTACATCAAGTGACAACTCACACGAAGAAGATCATGAACTTATGTATGAAATTTTTTTGAAATGATTGATGGGACATATGTAATAATTATAAATGTCAATTCTTGTCAATAGGATAGCTGTTTTGTGTAAGCATTAAATGCGCTATAGGTTAGTGACCCCAAATTGATGCTTAGGATTAGATGCTTCAATTAACGAGATACGGCTACGTGGACTTTCATCCAAGGGCCACAATTTCGCTTGTAATACTATAAATATCTCCTCCACATAACATTTGAAGGCTAATGCTACTCTAGATACTTAAAGCCATTATTTGTATTTTCTTTCATCGATTTTACACTTACTTATCAACGAGTTTACATTATTTCGCTTTAATTGAGTTGTTTGCGATTGGGTATCATCATACAATCATTTCATAAATCCATCGTCGGAATCCGAACACATTTGTCTCACGTCATTAAGCTTCTCCCATGTCCACATTTTTCGGAATATTGACTTCTAGTAATCCGTCCTTAGATGTTGGAGCTAACTCACGTGTGCGCGAGTGGGCTCAGTACTGTCGTCCTGCGGAAATTGAGGTCAATAACACCAACTCGCACAAGTGGTTTAAGAATCTAAGATCAGGAAAATTAGAAAATGGTTCAAAAATCAATATATTTTTGTTAAAATAAGGTATATTACTTAACTCAAACTTTCACTCAAACAAATACTTGATAAAATTCGTATTGATATATATTTTTTCCATCAACCATTTACAAGTCTAGCCTCACCATGTCTAATTATTCTGCCAACTCATATAAGCAGTATAAAATTTGGGTTTGACCAGTTCATCACAGAATTTTGAGATACGATTCAAAATTGGTTTTGCAAAATTTTCACTTCAAAAACATATTATTTTTTCTCTCTTAAGAATCATGATCGAAAAATGATTTCGTCCACCTCAATACCCACCCGACCAAGCTTTAAAACATTATTTTCGAATGAACTACCTTATTCAAGTCGAGTCTACTCAATTTTATCTTGAATCGAGAACTTTTGATCAACTTTATCCAAGTTTTGTCAAGGGAGAAGCCCCATTTTTCAACTTGACTTGGTTAAAATATGCGAAATTTCTTACTTTTCGTGGAGATTAGATCTAGTAACTGGGGGTCTATGGCTAATCAATATTGCACACCATCATTTAGCTATTGCAATGCTGATCCTCATAGCGCGTCACATATCTTCACTTGTTTTGCCCTTGCCAAAATTTGGTACACTTAAAGTCTCAAAGTTAACTCATAATTATTTTATCTAGGGAGAATTGCAGCCATGATATCAAACATTTCATTTTGTCTCAGACCTGACTCAAATCTTTCATCTGTACCACCTACGGTACCAAATCTTTGAAAAATTTGCACCCGAAGTTCAAATGGATGAAAATCGTTAGTTCATTTGTTAGTTGAGCTAAAGCTAATGATTAAGCAAAATTTGACTAATTTTTAAAGGGTTTAAAATTATTAAAGCAAAAAAGAAAAATAAAAAAAGTTATCTTCTTCAAGCCGCCCAACCCACTCCACCTCACCCTACGGCAAAACCAAACTCAAAACAAACAACCGTCTCTACAAAACCACCTCCGATAGCCCCTTTCCCACCCACCACCACTCTCCACCCAATGTCGACACGATTGTCTGCACCACCACGAGCATCCTAGTATTCCTCCTTTAATCACTCCCTTGTAGGCCTTCTCTTCTCCTTCGGATTCTTCGCATCATCCAATGACACCTAGCAATCTAATCATTGTTTCTTCCTCTTTTTCTCCATCTTTGAGAAAACCTAGAGTTTGATGTGGCAGCAATCCAGTTGCTCTTTGGCCTCTCCTTCTTGATCTTATTCCCAATCAGTGTTATGAAATGAGCGTCAAGGCGTTGCCTAGGCACGATGCGCGACAAAAACCCCAAGTCAAGTCTTATTTAACGGTCAACGATAATTGTTGACTGCTAATTCGCTCCTAGGCGTGCCTAGGCACACAATATTATCTTTTTTAATTTTTTTAACAATTCTTTTAAGTTAAAACTTAAATATTGATTTATTTACTTTATCTGCCCTAAATTCAAAATAGTCGCTTGAAGTTTTGAACAAAAAAAAGACTTTCAAAAATTCCTATCTATTTACTATTTAGTATTTACATTTGAAACTTATCCTTTTGTTTGAAATTTTAAAAAAAATGTATAAAGTTCTTATATATCTATTTTAGATATTTGATAGGTATTATTTTTAATTATTAAATAATTTTTTGACTAATTAAAATAATATTAAAATAAGAAAACATCTTTTTACACTTTTTTACGTCTATGCTCGCTTAGCCCAAAGCTATGCCTCCACGCATTACGCCTTTTAGAACACTGTTCCCAAAATATTCCATCACATAATCCTTCGCTTTTCGTGACTCCCTTTCACTTCCATTATCATGTTTCACCTATCTTTATCCGAAATACTCTTCTTCTTCTTCCATCAGTTATTTTCTCCTCTACTCTCTATATTAATCCTATCGAAATTCCCCTTTGAGATGCTCGTCTTCTCCAACCCCTTAGATGGAGATGTCATCTCTACAACTATCCTTGATGACACCACAAGTGCTGCATACACCTCAGGGGACAATTTCATAAATATGTATATAGATCAATCTCAATTGATAATAATCCGATAATATAATGTATTTGATATCTTATCGCATAATTTATTACATACAGTTTTTATCATTTTTTGAAAATTGTCTTACATTTTATGACTTTTAATGAAGAATGTCGAAATTATCAAATCCCAATCTAACGCTAATATATATTATAATAAATATTATATTGAGATTGAAAATCCTCTCTTTCCAAAATTACTTCTAACATTTCGTACTCTCTCACTCTAATTGTGCCATATGGATTAAAACGAGGAAATCCCGTGGTTTTATTGACCTAAATTCTTATATTGCAATAAAAAGGGAAAATAGGTAAAATATTTCGGATAGAATTATTGGATCAAATATTTGATAACATAATAAATCGAAAGTGGATTTAATAATAATATCTATTGAATTATTGGATCAGATCAAGGAATTACTCTTATCTGATTGGATCGGATATGAACAAATCCGAACCATATTCGTTCTATTTACAGTCCTAACAGTGACAGGAGAGAAAGGGGTGATGACAAAAAATAACTTTTTGGGATGAGGGCAGTAGTGGTGGTAGAGTAGTGGTGTTAGTGGTTTTGGTGATGATGATGCTTGGCGAACACAGTTGTTTGTTTGGGGTTTGGTTTTGGGGTGGGTTTATGGCGTCGAAGAAGATAAATTCTCACTGGATTTTTTTTTTTTTTTTTTGCTTTGATTGCTTTAATTCTTTTATATAAAAAACGTGAAGTTACCATTTTACTCGTAAAAAACTAGTCAAATTTTGATCAAATTGTTGATTCTAGGTCAACTAACAGGTGAACTAACGATTTTCATCGATTTGAACTTCGAGTGCGAATTTTTAAAAAATTTGGTACCGTGATCACAAATGAAAGATTTAGGCCCTGTTTGGCACCCATTTTTATTAAAATACATTTTTCTCTCTCTTCTCTTTAACCACACATTTTCTATTAAAATAATATTACACGTAAATCAAAAAAATTTTCTTATTTTTCAACTACACATTTTCCATTAATTTACAATTCAAAAATACATTTTCACATAAAAATTCCTACCAAACACCCTCTTAGATCAAGTTTGAGACAAAATAAAAGATTTGATACTGCAACTGCAATTTTTGGTAGAGTTGACCATGTGATGTTAGTAGTGACACAAACATGCAATAAAAAGTCATATACAACCAAAATTTATATCTATTCCTAACCTGCTCCCGTGTCTACACAAATCTACCTACACGTCTAATGTGACCCACCATAACCCATCCTCTCTCTCTCTCTCTTTCTATAACACCTTCCTTTCTCCCAAATCACTCCCCGTTGTCCCAAATTCAATTTCACATTAACGAATGATGATTCATGATTATATATACATACAACTCCTCCCATTTCAATTGACTTCCATTTCTTGATCTTGTTTTGCCAAAATCTTGGAAAAGCTTCATCTCTCTCTCTCTCTCTCTCTCTCTCTCTCTCTCTCTCTCTATATATATACATACATGCAGAAGAGAGAGAACCCCATGTCTCCAAGCAAGAGCAGCATCCACCATGTATGTGTCTTTAATTAATTTCCATACAATTCTTGATACTTTGGGCATTTCTGATTTTTTACTCGGGTTCATTTTAGTCAAATAATAGTGAACTTTTTGTTTCTTGCTCAATTGATTTTTTTATTATATCAGAGTTTATGCTAGCTGAGCAATTAATTTTTTCACTTTGTTGTTAATTTCCTATCTTTTTTATTTTTATTTATTTATTATTATTATTTTTTTTGGTATTAAGGTCAGATAAGAAGTAAATAAGTCGTTTAAAACTAATTTATCTCAATGGTTGTGGATTAGGAGGATTTTTTAATAATTAATTTTTTGTTCACCTGGGATAGGGCATGACTGAAGGGGTTTATAATTTTGTTCACGTGTCTATTGGTGATCGCTTTTTTTATTTTTTATTTTTTTCCGAATTGAAGTAACGTGTCTAGGAAATTCTATTCAAACTTGAAAATTCCACCTTTGTGCATGGAACTAAATTGTGATATGAGTAGAAATTATAGTTGATAGATGGAAAGGAAACTGATGTGACGCAATTTGTCAAACCTTTGAGACCCCTCAACTGTCTGGACACAGATAAACAGTTGATAGATGGTAAAAGAGAAAAAAATTGAGAGATGTTTTTGTATGTCTATTGCTGCTGATAATGATTTTGAGATTGGAATCTATGGATTTGTTATTCGAGATATATCTTGTTTGTGCATTGTAGAAGAGATGTTATTAAATGAAATCTCCATAGATGGTGGTAACCCCTTCTTAATACAAATAGACAATCAAGCTATTTTGAAACACAGATGTTGGAAAGCATTGATTACATTGTTTTCTAAAATCTATGATATGTTCTTTTTGGATTTGACATCCTTCTTTCTTTTGCATTTTGTCTTTTAAGTTTGAGTAATGTTTCATATAATCCAGATGTATCTGTATTTTCTTTCTGAAAACGATGTAATGGATTGCACGGTAAAGCCACCCTGCTCATTTTAATCTGATTTACTTGCTGTGTTTTGCCATGTATCTCAATCGTCCTTTATAATGAAGTGGAAACAACGAAATAGATCGCATAGTATGCTACCTCTGGGCATCGTAATATACATTCAAAGTAAAACCGATGAAGAATATTCTCCTTTGTGATGAGTGTCTCTTTGATTTTGGATTGGGGGCCATACAGAACCAGTGATCCATGTTTTCGAGTGTTAGAGAAGGCCTAATTTATGATTCTAATTTACATGACTAATCTAGATATGAATTATACTTACTGCACTCAACTGAATCAATATATTTATTCTGTTCTTCTACACCAGAAATGAATAAATATGTCTTTGACTTGCTACTTATATCACTGCATCGTTCCTCCATTTTCTATTTATCAATCTTGCTAGATCTTAATAACATGCATTATGTCAACTGAAGTAGAAAAAATATTTTTTGAAGACTAATGTGCTAACTAACAGGGAAATTCTAGTGTTTCACCAGCAGAGAATGGTTTTGGTGACAGTTTCTCACAATTAAGCTCAGAAAGAGCTGTCGAGGAACTTATTCAACAGCCTCTTGTTCAGGGAATTGATGATCATCTCATTGAGTTCTCCGAGGCTTTGAGAAGTACGGCCTACTCAATCTTTTATCTTTAGAACTATTTTCTGCGGTCAGAGCTTGATGCACAATCTGTTACTTAAAATTCAATTTTCTTCGTGTTTTTAGCTGTTGCAAAGGCATTGCGTAGAGTTACTGAAGGAAAGGCTTCTGCTCAAGCTGAGGCTGCTGAATGGAAGCGTAAATATGAATTGGAGAGGGCACGTAATATGCATTTGGAGAACCAAGGTTCATTTAATTCTGTGTACTTTCCAAGTTTACCATATACCAATTGATGCACTTGTCTGTTGAATATTGGATTCTTTGTAGCATTTATGTATACAATTTTAATTTCAGTAATCAAAGCCTAAATTTGCATATTGATGTTGGTTGGAAATTCTTAGGGACTTGAACTATCTGATTGTAAAAATTAAGACAATATGGGCCGGTACTGGGTTGAGTATTGTTTGAGACTACCATTTCATTTTGATAAATGGATGGTCCTTGTAAGGTGGGGTTGGATGGGATTTTGGTCAAAACTTTATAACTAGTCCTCATTTTCAGTATTGCAAAACTTATGGATAATAAAAAGTAGATGTTGTCGTTAGTGTCAAATTTTGATATTTGATAGTGTCGTGTTGGACTGGAATTTTCTTTATGAACTAGTGGATTGTTTGCCAATGTCATTGTGTTGACCCTTGATATATTGGCATACTAAATTTATTATTTTTATAGAATTCAGCATCTGAAATCGTTTGTCTATTTACACATGTAAGGCTTGAAAAACAGAAGAATACTTAAAAATCCATGAGTGCAAACTCCTGTGTATACATGGGGCAAAATTAATCTGCTCTCATATCGGTTCAAAGTCAAAATGGTTTGAACCCACATATGTTGTGTGCAAAGCAAAGGGAGTTCAAACATTTTCATCAAAGCAAAAATGCACGTTGAGTTATGTAGCTTAGCCAATTGGCTGAGGCTGAATAGGGGTGGGGGTGAACGGGTGGAAGGATTTTGTCCATAGCTTCCATCCAATCATCTATGTTTTACAAGAGGACATTTATCATGTAGATTTATGCAACAGTAATATGGTCCCTTTAAGTTTAATACTACCTTAGACAATTTGTGTATCCAAGAATTGGAAGGTCTGAAGACAGTTTTTTTCCATTTCTCCTGAAAATTGTGCAGTTTTTCTCTTCTCTCTTTATTTTTACATGTGCAATAAAATGTTGTACTTTTAGTAAGTATCCTCTTGTGAGTAATAGACTGGCTTGTTTCAGTGCTGTCATCTGGAGGGCATTGCAGTGAGTTAAATGATGAGAGAGCAGAAACTTTGGCAGACCGAACTGTGTTGTCCAATGAAACTAGGGAACAATGTGAGTTGTATAGTGGAAAAGATGATATTTGTGCTCACGAGGTTCTTCAAGATGGTGAACCTGATTCTGACTCAGGTGAAGTCCAGAATAGAATGATGAGGAAGGTTAGTCATTGGTTAACTCGCAGTTTATAGTCATATTGATTTATTCAGTGCTTATCTTCAGTTATAACTGTTCCCCAATTCTTTATAATTCTGCAAATCTCGAAATGGTTACTGCTGTTCTTGCTTAGTTAATAGTAAGTGGAATAAAAAAGGGAAATAGAGAATGGGGGAAGAGTGGAATTGATTGAATTAAAGAAAGAAAAATTAGAAAAGAGGCCCATGTAGATTTTTATTTTATTGTTAATGTGGTTTGAGTACAACAAAGAATTTAGTCAGTATTGTCCCAAAATACTGTGTTGTTGGGTAGGTTTATGCAGCTTTCTTTTTATTTTTGTTATATTAATGCAACAAGATATTTTCTAAATCCCTGATTATATTTATAAATAAAGTGGTGAAATAGGATTTTCAATTGATATTTTATTATTGGCTAGGCGATCAATAAAAATTATAATATTGGTTTCTGGAGACAGGCATCATTTAAACTATCATGGTGTTGCAAAGGCGAAAAAAGTGATCGACACAAACATGACATTGTCTCTTTTGAAAAGGGCAATATAACAACTGCAGAACGTAGCAGTAAACAGGTATAGCTATTGAAATCAAGCTTTTGAAGTTTTGTCTGGTGTTACTTTGAAGTCTCACTCCATTTGCATTTCATTTTATTATCTTAATGGTTTGATGTTCTTATGACTCGGATTTCAGTAATACTGTATAAGTGAACCTTTTCTTTTTCAGATTTCTTTGAAGTGGGAATCTCCCCCAAGCACTGTGCTTATATTGACCAAGCCCAATTCAACTTCTGTACGAATTCTGTGTTTCGAAATGGTCAGGTAGGATGGTTAAACATTGTAAGGCATTTATTTTCCTCTTAAATTGATTGCTCTGCCTTCAATTGTAATAATTGAGAAGATTCTGTGCAAGAATGGTTCATGGTTAATATCTGGAACTCAACCTTATTACGGAAGTGAAGATGTTTTTCATTTTACATCTTTGCCCCTTTCCGGACTTGTATAATTGATATGGTGATCCTCTATATGAATGATCAGTGAATTGACATCACAAGTGGGGTTTATGAATAATTGATCCCATCCCATTACATGGTAATGGGCCATATAATTCACAACTTCTACACCATGGTTTAGTTGGATTGCTTTTGCATAAAATTGCCTCTCCATTTTGGAATTTTTGATCTATAATTCCGTTACTTATTTTTTGGCGACTTCGGAAGTTCTGCCAATTTTTCTGTCAATTTTTATTTTATATTGTACCTTTTCTTTTGTTATAACTTATACATATCAGAGAATTCTTCCTTAGTATCATTACTTTGCAGTGCTTTCTGATAAAGATTTATTTCTCCAATGCTGAGGAGCTGATGAACATCCAATTTGATTCGTTTTATGTCTAGTTTAAATATTGACTTTAAAGTTATGGGCCAAAGTTTGAGGAATTAGTTGCGTGCATCTTTAAGTTTCATTCCATATCTTAGATTTTTGTGTTAAATCTCTCTGGAGTTGAGCTCTGTTGCCACTGGCGGCATAATTATTTCCTCACGTGTCTTTACTATAATTTTACTTAGGCCCTGTTTGGTACCCATTTTTTTTAAAATGCATTTTTCTCTTTCTTCTTTTCAACAACACATTCTTTATTAAAATAATATTACATGTAAATCAAAAACTTTTCCTTATTTTTTAACCACACATTTCCCATTAATTTACTATTCAAAAATGCATTTTCACATATAAATGTCTACCGAACACCCTCTTAATTGGCTGTGAAACTTGTTAGACTTATTATTCCTGTTTTCATCCCAGATGGTTAAAAGAGCAGAAAAAGTTAAATATCTTTGTGGAGCCACAAGTTAAAGCTGAACTTTTGACAGAGTCATCGTACTACAACTTTGTACAAACCTGGCAAGATGGTAAGCTGTGAAATTTTCTGTGGTTAAAAAACTTAGAACAAGGAGTGTTTTCTTGCATTTGTTTAAAATTTGTTTCTGTTTCATTGTTAATGTTATCTGGATTTGCGAAGACAAGGAAATGCTGCTTCTGCATATGAAAGTTGACCTTGTTGTGACTCTGGGTGGAGACGGAACCGTTCTTTGGGTACGTAAACTGTTTGGTCTTCTTCAGCATAATTGATCTTGTTTTTCAATTTCTGGAATAATTATAGTATTATACTTTGTGTTTGGCTGCGATGACACTTACAACTGGCTTCTTATTTGCAGGCTGCATCGAGGTTCAAAGGGCCAGTTCCTCCCGTCGTCCCATTCTCTTTAGGTTCACTTGGCTTCATGACCCCATTCCGTATCCTCGTTCTTCCCATAAAGGGGTTCTTATTTTTCATGTACACATTAGAGTGCTTTCATCAAACTTTATGTTTCTTTCTTATGTACGTATCTTTAACATAAAAAATCAGATAGTGAGCATTACCGCGAATATCTTAATTCTATCCTTCGCGGTCCCATTAGTATTACGTTAAGACATCGATTGCAGTGCCTTATCATTCGGGATTCAGCTAAAAGTGAATACGAGAGTGAAGGACCAATGCTTGTCCTGAACGAGGTTACAATTGACCGTGGAATTTCATCCTTCCTCACAAATCTGGAATGCTATTGTGACAACTCTTTTGTTACTATTGTACAAGGAGATGGTTTAATATTATCAACGCCGTCTGGGAGCACGGCATATTCCCTGGCTGCTGGAGGATCAATGGTTCATCCTCAGGTACGTCTTGAACCATTTGTCGTTCCGTCTGCCAGTCATTTTGAGCCTGTTTGCAAAGCTTAAAAATGGCAGAGGTTACTTTTAAGTAATTTTCTTGATTAATGCTCGGTTAGACCATCCCTTTGAATCTTGTGCTTGCTTGCATAAGCTTTTAAGTACTTATAAGGGCACGTACATAATGGTGCACACCCCCCTCACATGGAGGGGGTCCACATACAATAAATCATGCATTGGCCCTCCTCCATGTGAGGGAGGTGTAACCCCCTATGTACACCTCGAGGTGTACAAACAGTATTACCCGTACTTATAAATAGTGGGTTTCAAGGAATATGGGGTTAAAAAGTAGGTAAATTTTGCAATTATATGCTTTGGCAAACATTCGATTAATAATTTCAATTGATTTTCAGGTTCCGGGCATCCTGTTTACACCAATCTGCCCACACTCACTATCCTTTCGGCCTTTGATTTTGCCCGAGCACGTGACTGTTCGAGTAGTAGTACCCTTCAATAGCAGAAGTCATGCTTGGGTATCATTTGATGGGAAGGACCGGAAACAATTGGGACCAGGCGACGCACTTGTGTGCAGCATGGCAACTTGGCCCGTTCCAACCGCGTGTCAAGTTGATTCGACTAGTGACTTTCTACGCAGCATCCATGACGGTCTTCATTGGAATTTGAGGAAGACTCAGTCGTTTGATGGCCCACGCGATCCGTGAAGAGCAAATTTTCTTCCTTAAATTTAGAAAATCAAATTTCTATGGAATCCATTTCTCTCCCCAAGTATCACGGAGTTCTCCAAATAGGTGCTTCATTATGTTTCAAGTATTTGATGCATAGGTTCTTGACGTTTGTAGATTAACCGAACAATCACTGTGCCAGAAATGGACGAAATTGGAAAAGCAATTCTCTCGGTTGAATATAGAAGAAGTAATTGGATAAATTTAATTATAGTTTTGAATTTGCCTGCCTTCAATTTTAATATTTGAGAAGATTCTGGGCAAGAATGGTTCATGGTTAATATCTGGAACTCAATCTTATTACGGAAGTGAAGATGTTTTTCATTTTACATCTTTGCCCCTTTCCGGACTTGTATAATTGATATGGTGATCTTCTATATGAATGATCAGTGAATTGACATCACAAGTGGGGTTTATGAATAATTGATCCCATCCCATTACATGGGCCATATAATTCACAACTTCACAACTTCTACACCATGGTTTAGATGGATTACTTTTTGCATAAAATTGCCTCTCCTTTTTGAAATTTTTGATCTATAATTCTGTTACTTATTTTTTGGCTACTTCGGAAGTTCTGCCAATTTTTCTGTCAATTTTTATTGTATATTGTACCTTTTCTTTTGTTATAACTTATATGTTATACATATCAGAGAATTCTTCCTTAGTATCATTACTTTGCAATGCTTTCTGATAAAGCTTTATTTCTCCAACGCTGAGGAGCTGATGAACATCCAATTTGATTCGTTTTATTTCTAGTTTAAATATTGACTTTAAAGTTTATGGGCCAAAGTTTGAGGAATTAGTTGCGTGCATCTTTGAGTTTCATTCCATATCTCAGATTTTTGTGTTAAATTTCTCTCTGGAGTTGAGCTCTGTTGCCACTGGCGGCATAATTATTTCCTCACGCGTCTTTACTATAATTTTACTTAATTGGCTGTGAAACTTGTTAGACTTATTATTCCTGTTTTCATCCCAGATGGTTAAAAGAGCAGAAAAAGTTAAATATCTTTGTGGAGCCACAAGTTAAAACTGAACTTTTGACAGAGTCATCGTACTACAACTTTGTACAAACCTGGCAAGATGGTAAGCTGTGAAATTTTCTGTGGTTAAAAAACTTAGAACAAGGAGTGTTTTCTTGCATTTGTTTAAAATTTGTTTCTGTTTCATTGTTATTGTTATCTGGATTTGCGAAGACAAGGAAATGCTGCTTCTGCATATGAAAGTTGACCTTGTTGTGACTCTGGGTGGAGACGGAACTGTTCTTTGGGTACGTAAACTGTTTGGTCTTCTTCAGCATAATTGATCTTGTTTTTCAATTTCTGGAATAATTATAGTATTATACTTTCTGTTTGGCTGCGATGACACTTACAACTGGCTTCTTATTTGCAGGCTGCATCCAGGTTCAAAGGGCCAGTTCCTCCCGTCGTCCCATTCTCTTTAGGTTCACTTGGCTTCATGACCCCATTCCGTATCCTCATTCTTCCCATAAAGGGGTTCTTATTTTTCATGTACACATTAGAGTGCTTTCATCAAAATTTACGTTTCTTTCTTATGTACGTATCTTTAACATAAAAAATCAGATAGTGAGCATTACCGTGAGTATCTTAATTCTATCCTTCGCGGTCCCATTAGTATTACGTTAAGACATCGATTGCAGTGCCATATCATTCGGGATTCAGCTAAAAGTGAATACGAGAGTGAAGGACCAATGCTTGTCCTGAACGAGGTTACAATTGACCGTGGAATTTCATCCTTCCTCACAAATCTGGAATGCTATTGTGACAACTCTTTTGTTACTATTGTACAAGGAGATGGTTTAATATTATCAACGCCGTCTGGGAGCACGGCATATTCCCTGGCTGCTGGAGGATCAATGGTTCATCCTCAGGTACGTCTTGAACCATTTGTCGTTCCGTCTGCCAGTCATTTTGAGCCTGTTTGCAAAGCTTAAAAATGGCAGAGGTTACTTTTAAGTAATTTTCTTGATTAATGCTCGGTTAGACCATCCCTTTGAATCTTGTGCTTGCTTGCATAAGCTTTTAAGTACTTATAAGGGCACGTACATAATGGTGCACACCCCCCTCACATGGAGGGGGTCCACATACAATAAATCATGCATTGGCCCTCCTCCATGTGAGGGAGGTGTAACCCCCTATGTACACCTCGAGGTGTACAAACAGTATTACCCGTACTTATAAATAGTGGGTTTCAAGGAATATGGGGTTAAAAAGTAGGTAAATTTTGCAATTATATGCTTTGGCAAACATTCGATTAATAATTTCAATTGATTTTCAGGTTCCGGGCATCCTGTTTACACCAATCTGCCCACACTCACTATCCTTTCGGCCTTTNTAATGAATGATAATTTTACCTTTGCAGTTGTAAAAATTATTATCGTTGTATTCTTGATTATTACTTATAAATATAGAGCTTTTATTCTTAATAAAATACAAAAAAAATTATTGATTTTTATTCTCTCTTTTTTTTCTCTCTTTACATAACACGCTATCAGTATAAAAGTTTAATTCTTCAAAGTTTAAAGAAGATTTATGATAGACTGTCAAGATACTTGCTTGATTGATAGTGTAACTATACAAGCCATTTTTCAAAACAAAAAATATTTTTTGAACCTAATATTAAAAGAAAAAATGTTAATACGATATCAAGTGCATTGAATATTGTTGAAGGCTTCCAAAAAGCTTGTAAATAAAACAAAGTTATATATTGAAGATACACTTTATTCTAGCAAATTCAGAAAAAAATTCCTTAATTTTAAAGAAATCCGCTACAATGGATATCATATTGAAACCATACAAGAAAATAATATTGAATATTTCTGAATAACTTCTTTTGTATCTAACAAGAAGCAGATAAAAGAAAAATTTATGCACTTCATAAAAATGGTTGAATCAAATAATATCACGAACCAAAAATTTGTTGATCCAAAAAATTTTATACTTTGTCATGATTGACTTGGATATCTTTACCTAATGATTATCCATGTGTAGTTTATTTACAAGGCAAGTTAGTCAATAGACATTCGATTACAAAAGTCAATATTAAATATCCAATTTTTTTGGAAAGAATTCATGGAGATATATATGGGCCAATACGCCCACCATGCGGATCATTCCGTTATATTATGGTATTAATTGATTCTTTTACTAGATGGTCACATATTGGAATACTTTTCACTATGAATGTAGCCTTCACTAGACTACTTACCCGAAACATAAAATTACGAGCGCAATTATCCGATTATTTTTCTTGACAATGCTAGTGAATTTATATCACAAGTATTCAATGATTATTATATGTCAATTAAGATTGTAATTGAACATTTAGTTTCGCATGTCCATTAACAAAATGGTTCAGCGGAGTCGTTTATTAAACATCTATAACTTAGTGTTAGATCATTACTTATGAAAATAAAACTCCCAATTTTTGTTTGGGGTCATGCCATATTACATGCTGCATCATTGGTTCGTATTAGACCAACTACCTATTATCAATATTCATCTTTGCAACTTGTTTTTGGTTCTGAACCTGATATTTTTCACTTGCGAATTTTTGATTGTGTTATCCAAGTCCCTATTCACCCCCTTACAACGTACTAAAATGGGTCTCCAACGAAAACTTGGGATTTATGTAAATTTTGATTCATCATCTATTATTAGGTATCTTGAACCATTAACGGGCGATTTATTTACTGCAAGTTTTGTAGATTGTTATTTTGATGAAATGACTTTCCCAACTTTAGGAGAGAAAAAATGACATCTTGAAAAAAAGGTAAAATTTCTTGGAATGAAACATTTCTATCTTATTTTGACTCCCGCAACAATCAATGTGAGCAAAATGTTAAAAAATTATTTATTTGCAAAATATCTCAAATCAATTACCCGATATATTAGTTGACACTAGAAAAGTGACAAAATCATATATTTTAATAGAAAATATTTCAGGAAAAATTGATGTCCTTGTAGAACAATTTATTGCAGCAAATGAATCTCAAATACACCAGAATAGTAGTCGGCGAGTTGATTCAAAAGACTCTGTACCTTAAAAGAGAAAAGTACAAGAGAAAAACTAACCAAAAGTTTGAAAGAAAGTAACATTAAAAAATATTGATCAATCAAATATTGAAAATATGGTTCCTGAAGAACCACAAGTGTCCGAAAATAATGAGATTTCAATAAAATTTATATGTTACCACATAAATTATTGGAACGGAATAATGTTGTATAGAGAGCATTTTTGCCTTTAACGTGGCTCCTGATATTATTCAAAATAAGGATCACGAACTACAGTCTATTAAAGACTATCAAAATAGAAATGATTGACCAAAATTAAATGAAGTTATATAGGCAAAATTGAATTCTGTAGGGAAACGAAAGGTGCTTGGATATGTAGTGTGAACACCAAAAAATATAATCCATATTGGATAAAAATGAATTTTTGTACGAAAGAGAAATGAAAATAATAAAATTACAAAATATAAAGATCGACTTGTAGTTCAAGGTTTCTTACAAAGATCTGCAATCGATTATGATAAACCAAATTCTCTCACAATGGATACAATCACTTTTAAATTCCTAATTAGTTTGGTCATGTCACAAAAATTTGATATGCGCCTTATATATGTAGTAACTGTCTAATTATATGTTTCACTTAATAGTGACATATATAAGAAAGTTCTTGAATGACTTTAAGTTCCAAGAACAAAAGATACATGCCCCAAGAACCATGTTATCAATTAAATTGCAAAAATCATTATATGGATTGAAACAATTCGAACGCACATGATATAATCGCTTTAGTGAATATTTGTTGAAAGAGGGTTATAAAAATGACGATATCTGTCCACATGCTTTCATAAAGAAATTAGATATTGAATTTGTAATTATGACAGTTTATGTTGATTTAAATTTAATTGGAACTCCTGAAGAGCTCAACAAAACTGCAGATTATTTGAAAAATAAATTTGAGATAAAAGATTTGGGAAAACTCAAATTTTGTCTCGGGTTACAGATTGAATATTTCTCGGAAAGATTATTCATTCATCAATCTACATATTCAAAAATGTCTAAAAGCATTTTTTATACGGATAATGCATATCCATTGACATCACCCATAATTGGTCGGTCACTTGATGTGAAAAAAAAATTAAATTTTGCCCACTTGAAAATGGAGAAAAGGTTCTTGGCAATAAAGTATCATATCTTAGTATAATTTGAGCATTAACTTATCTTACAAATTGTACTCGTCTCAACATAGATTTTTCTGTAAATTTCTTATAAGATATAGCTCTACACCAACTTAAAGATATTAGAATGGTGTTAAACATATTTTTCGTTACCTAAATGATACTATTAATTTGAGATTATTTTATTCTTAAAACTCAGGATCTGCTTTAGTGTGATATGCAGATGTAGGTTATTTATCTAACCCGCATAAAGCTAAACCACAAACAATGAAACACGATATGTGTTTATATATGAAGGAATAGCTATCATGAAAATCTGTAAAGCAATCCTTAACAGCAATATCCTCAAATCATTATAAAATTATTACAATCATGAAGCTGACTGATAATATGTATGGTTGAGGAACATGATCCACATCCAAGCATCATGTGGGTTAACTTCACTAATAAAAGATGGTTCAATAATTTTGTATGAAGACAATGCAACTTGTGTTTCACAGTTTAAATAAAGCTATATCAAAGGTAATAAGACGAAGCATATTTTTCCAAAATTCTTTCAAACATGTGAGCTTCAGAAGAATGACTATATCGATATCCAACAAATTTACCAAGTAACAATGTAGTCGATTTATTCACAAAAGCACGTCAACACTAACATTAGGGAAATTAGTTGTACTATTTTTCCTTCGTTTATGTTTTATCCCACTGAATTTTTCTAGTAAGGTTTTAATGAAGCATCATTTTTTTTAATACTTCAAAATAACTGTACTCTTTGTTCTTCGTTTGATTTTTTTGTCCCATTAGACTTTTATCATATAAGGTATTAACGAGGCAGAGATTTTGCAATGTGTTATTCAATGAGAGTGTTGTAAATGGTAAATTAATTAGGATTTATTAGTGAATGACAATTTTACTCTTACAACCCAAAAAATTATTACCATTGTATCCCTAATTTTTACCTATAAATATAAGATTTTTGTTCTTAATAAAATACACACAAAATGTATTGACTTTCATTCTCCCTTATCGTAACAAAGCCTGATTTTAAAAAAGAATTGCGCGTCCCAATGTAATTTAATTGTGTGAGATTCGTGGTCACGTTGCCCCCTAGGTTTGACTGCCCACAATGTGTGTCGCAAACCACACCTAAATTTCTCAACCTTTATTGCTACATGGGACCACTGAAAATTATTAAAAAATTAAATTGCTACACTCTTTTGATTGAAGAACAATTTTAAATACAATTTCGTTATAGTGACAAGTTCAGCGATAGAGAGGATAGATGTCACTGCATGATTGGACAATTTGGAAAAAAACACTCAATCACTGTCTGTCATACTATCCTATCACCTCCATCATTGTCACTGACTCAGTCCAAGTATCATTATTCTTTCAAATATAAGAAGTGTATCTTAAAACATTATAGCAAGTATGGAGTAGTTTCTCGACCATATTGGGACGCTTATTGCTTCACTTGAGCTGATGAAAAATCATTTCCATCATTTTCATTCCTACTTTAGATAGTACTCGAAAAAGATAGTGACAAATGTTATTAGAAGTGTCGAGACTAAGAGAAATGTAAAACCCAATGTTTCCATAGATTCAATCATGATTTACAATTCCATACTTCTTTCCTTTGTTGTTTTAAAATCCTACCAAAGAGAGAAACAGTGAGAGTTAAAAATCACTCATTCAAATACACCATGCAAGCCTATGTAGAATTCCTTCCAAAATATAAAATAAAGGTGAAAGATAAAATCAACTTAGATAGAATTACGGGTTGTTTGGGCCCTAATTTAGTATTATTTTTTTTTTCCAAAAAATGCATTTTTGAAATAGTGTTATGTGTTATAAAAAGAGAAGAAAGAGAAGAAAATAGGGAGAAGTTAATAGATTTGTGTGTTTTATTAAGAACCAAAGCCCTCTATTTATAGGACAGAATTAAGGATACAATGGTAATAATGTCTAGGGCAGTAGGGATATAATTGTCATTCACTAATAAACCGTAATGAACTTTCATTTTTACAACACTCTCCCTTGAGTGACACATTATAAAATATCTATCTCATTGAAATATCTATTGGCAAAAATCCAATGGGACAAAAATGCCAACAAAAAGAGTAAAAATAATTTGGAGTAATAAGATGATGCC